CCTTTCTTGCTTTGTTTTATTTTCAACTTATTGCTTATGCTCTATTTTCCCTCCTCCTCCTGCTAAAGAAATCATCTAGTCTACCTTCTATCTTATCTTATCTTGATCTTGATCTCAATACAGTGTTCTATCTTATCTTATCTTGATCTTGATCTTGATCTTAATCTCAATACAGTAAGTAAAAGGGATGTAATTGTCATAAAGTTTTACTGTGAAGCTACATGTTTAGTAGGCTAAAATACCAGCCAATAATATATTTTTTATGACTACATTAGTTTTCAATTTATATTATTTTATAATTATTCACACTGTTAAAATTCTTTTAAGTTTCAAACTTGTATATACTCATCACTTTTTTTTACTCAATTTTATCAAATAAAATAAAATAATAAAATTTAAATTCATAATTATTAAAATTTAGAGTATACATGAGTCTGGAAGTAGTGTTGTTGAAGGAAATTTACAATGGCAACACTTCCCCTGCCACCAATTAAGACAGCTCCTTCTACTACATGTTTACTGTGTTTTCTTTGCCTTCGACTCTCTCTCTCTGAACCTCTCTGTTCATTGATGAAAATGGGGACAAACTTCCCTATTTTCCATCACAATTTTTACTAAGAATATATCATGATTTTAGAGAGAGTAAAGCTGGGCAACAAACCCACTACTACGTTTTTATGTTTTAATTTTTAAAATTTTTTGATTTTTTGATTTTAAATTAATATTTTTTTTAGTGTTTTTAGATTATTATTTTCAGATTATTTTGATGTATTTCTAAATAAAAAATATTTTAAAAAATAAACATAATTATACCCTCAAATAACCAATTAAAAAGTTGTTTTATTGAATTACTCTTTTGTATTCTAATACGGTATAGAAACAAAGTTAATTTTAATATTTATCCGCATATATATGCAAAGAGAAAATAAATATTTTTTAAAATATAAATATTTTTTTAATAAAGAAAGGAATGAAATTTTTTTAAATGAAAACTCGAAATGAAATTTTGCATATTCTTTAAAACAAATTAAAATCTCGTTTCATGAGATTTAATTTAATGAATTTATTATATATTTTTCATGTAGGCAAAAAAAGGGAAGAAAATTTTTTTAACATTGAATTAATTCATATCAAGATCCTTTAATTTATTTAAAAATTTATAGTAATGTAGGAGTTCAATTATGTATCACTTGCATCATATTGTTTCTCATCCAAACCCTCTTTTAAGAAAAATAAAATATTAAGCCATGCAATTTTTATCATTTATTAAAAAATCCAAGAGGAAGTAAGAATTTATAAATTAAATACAAATGGAAGATGTGAAATTATGTGATATACATGTTGAATTGTTTTTATTATTTTAGTGAATAAATAACTCTAAAAATATTTAATTTTGATTGAAGAAGCATGCATAATTACAGATTGGACAATAAAAAACGGGATCAGCCACATACAAAGCCCACTAGCCCAATAAAAGGGCCTAGCAAGGAACCCAATAAAACCGCCACCATTAGTTTATTACAATGCAGAAAGAGAGATTGGTGTTTGGTAGCTGGTAACCTCATCTGAAGATCATAAGATTAGTAATGGCGGCAATTGCAAATGAAGCAGCAGCAGCAAGTATTGAAGGAAGCGCTACAGAAACAATAGAGAAGCCGCTGCCGCATAAGCTTGAGAGGCAATGGACCTTTTGGTTCGATAACCAATCCAAACCTAATCAAGGCGCCGCCTGGGGCACTTCTCTCCGCAAGATTTACTCTTTTGATACCGTCGAAGAATTCTGGTGGTATGTATTTCCTTTCCCTTTTTTTATTTTAATACTCTCTTATAATCTGTTTGCTACTAGATCTGCCTCTTATTTATTCAGTTTTCAGACTCTCCTAGGGTTTCTTTTTTTCTAGACAGACGGGGTATTGCTTAGTGATTAGTTAAATAATTATTAATGGAAAATTGGAGTTATTTATTTATTTATTTTGGGCGCAGTTTGTATGAGCAGATATTCAAGCCAAGCAAGCTGCCTGGAAATGCTGATTTCCATTTATTTAGAGCTGGGATTGAACCCAAATGGGAAGATCCAGTCTGTGCTACTGGAGGCAAATGGTCTGTTACCTCCAGCGGAAAGGCCAACTTGGACACCATGTGGCTTGAAACTGTAATAATCTTACTCTCTCTTCATTTTTTTATGCTCTGGATGCCTTTGTTGGTGTATTGGCATAATCTTTGTTCATGTGCCAATGAATTAATAATTGGACAGTTGATGGCATTGATCGGGGAGCAATTTGATGAAGCTGATGAGATTTGTGGCGTGGTTGCAAGCGTGCGCCGCCAGAGGCAGGATAACCTTGCTTTGTGGACTAAGACGGCCGCAAATGAGGCTGTGCAGGTTGTCATTATTTCTTTCAATCAAAGCATATACTTTGGCACTTGTGAATTTAGATGACTTTTTTCAGTGTTTCAATTCTTTGTGGTGTCCCTTAAGAATCAATTCCATCCAAAGAACCTGCCCTTAGACATCCTATGCATTTCATCTAAGGTGTGTGCTTGGCTTCCTTTGCCGACAGTGAAGTGGGAATTTTTTCTGCAACCTCAGGTTCCCATACCAAGGCTCATGTCTTGTTTGACTTCTCATGTTTTAATGACTGGGAAGAGAAAAATGTGATTATTTCTCTTGTCGGGCTTAACAAAGAACGAGGCTCACCACCATCTCTCCCATGCTTGAGACTAAATACCACTCCAATTTGATATTTCTAATTGATTAGACCTTGCATGTGAATGGGAACTTGTGTATCTTGGTGGCAGAGGTTATATGATATTCTTGTGTCGGCAAAAGTTAATGAATGTTCACCTCACAAGGGTTCTGTTGGCGGTGACAATAGCTGATTTTATGATTGCAGACCTTGTAAGTAGCCAATGGGTGACTAGCGATCATTTAGGGTTGTTCATTAGTCGCAGTAATGTTGTAGCACCTGTGAGTGATTGTTTACCATTTCTAAGTGCTGTCATTTGGTCTGTACATACTCATTAGAAGAATTCTGAGTACTTATGAGGAGATAGATGCTGTCACTTAGAGCACAGGGATGCTTGGTCGATCCAGTTTAACATGCTCATAGTCAGATATTTTATCCCCCAACAGAAAAAAAAAGGGAAAAAAAAGTGCTTGGATTGCTGACTTCTATTAGAATCTGATGCGTCTTTTGCTTTTGCGCACATATATAGCATTTTTGTTTTCTGGTAGATTCATAATTTAGGTTTATACAGCAAGCTGACTAGGTAAAGCTATTTAGTTAGGTGGTGATTGGATGGCATTTAGGTCATACACAATAAACTTTTCTCCATTTTGTTTTATTTGATGCATAACAGTTCTTGGAACCCGTTCCTCACTCTATTTTTGTGGCCCTTTTCAAAATGTCAAATTTTAAACAGCAATGTGTCTTCCTTGCTTGTGGGCTGTGGCATTGTGCATGCAGTTCATGTTCTTGCATGCTGACATGCGTTTGCTATCCACCATATCTGACATATTGATTTGATGATTTTCATCTGAACTCAACTTTAGCCTCTACATGAAATAACTATGGATCTGTTACTGTTTAGCTCAAACAACAATATATGGGATTCTTGGCTGTTTTCATTGGAAAAAAAAAGGGTTTCCATGTTGACATTTCTTTTAGGTAGAGCGTAATACAACATTTGAATGGAAACTTCTAGTTGGGTTTTAATACACTGGTTCATTAAGCTCTAGTGGCAACTAGCGCCCACCGGCATGCTGTTCTTCTTTGACTTGGTTGTTTAAGTTTGTTCTCTCCCTAAATGCTTCATGTTTATTAGTTACTATTCCATTCCCTCTGATTGCTTCAATTCTAATGATGTTATGGCATTTGAATTTTGTTGTGTAGATGAGCATTGGCAGGAAGTGGAAGGACATCATTGATGCCACTAATAAGATCACCTACAGCTTCCATGTAATCTTTGTTTTGCGGTCCTATCTGATTTTAAGAAAATTTACTTCTCAAATCTTACTATTTTGGTAACTGCAGGACGATTCCAAGAGGGAAAGAAATGCCAAAAGCCGTTACAATGTGTAAGCACTCCATGACTACATGACGGTGGTTTTTTTAGCTTGGCTCCACACCGAGAAGTGAAATGTATTTTTGTTCAGATAGGTCCTTAATGGATGTATCTTGATGATGCTCCTTTAATTTTGATATTAGATCAGATTGAGCTTGTGAAAGTATTGTAGTTTCTACCACCAGCAATCTGTACTGTTGAGAGATATTGTTGTTCCCAATACACTTCGGCATAAAAAAACGTTACTTCTACAGGTCTGCTCCTTTTTGTGTGCTTGGATTTTGATATTCCTCAAAGAGATTGATTTAGTTTTTGAAACCATGATCGTTATGTTTATCAACTACAATTAGCTATAATGGTGGCAGCATAATGGGTGCACAGATTAGAAAAAAATAAAAAAAAAAAAAAAAAAAGAGATTCAAGAATGAAAGGCCGGTATCATCGAATCACGGTGTTCTTGCTGCGCGCTCTTTATTTCCTCACCGCACCGGAGGATATACCAGAGCTATCGATCAAGGATACTTTGCAGTTGGAGAGTGTTTCACATCCTGGTGGTGCTTCAACCCAATTGAGGTGGCATTCTTTTAACGCTGCCGGCGCTGCAATCATTTCTAACTTGACGGATTAATCAACAAATAGGCTGGTGGGAAATAGCTGCATGGCTCCCGATGTTAGAAGCTTGATCGAACGCTAATCTAGAGTTTAGACCGTTCTAATTAATATTCAAGGACATACAAGCGGCATTTAAAACATAATCTGGTGGTTGAATAAAGCATAACTTAGTCCTAATGCCATCATTGCCGATTTATTTAAAAAAACTTGAAGCTTAATATAGTGTTGGTTCAGCTCCCGGATTCCTTGGAGGCCATTTGAGCCACTCAAGGAACAGCTGGTTTTTTCCCCTCAGGTCACCCTTGCCGTGAGCCAGGTAATTGACGAATCTTTAAAGACGCTTTACTTTAATAATCTCAAGACAAAGTACTACAGGTAAAATGAAGAGTGAAGTAGCCATACAATGTCGTTAACATGATGATTCCAAGGGCCCCAGATGAAGAGAGGTATTTACATCTGAAAGCCCTCAAATGAACTATGGACTAGAAAATGCTTGTTACATGAAGATGACCAGAGGAGAAATCCTCTTCTTTTATCAAGCAAGGAACCCGAGTCTCTCTCCATTCTTCTTGGCCAACCTAATAAGTCCCTGCCTTTGTTTTGCATCTGCTCCTATCGATTTGCAGAACTCAGTAATCACCTGTAAACAGTTAACAATTTAGTTATGCAATTGATTAAATTATTTGCGCTATAATAATTAATCAAGAAACTAATTGAGGAAGAACATCATCATTCAGGTTATCCGAAACTAGCAAATAAAAGGCCAATAATTGTCCAAAAACAAGAAAAAGCCACTAACCCCTTAACGCATTAGCTACTGAGACTAAATCTAGAAGCAGAGGCAAGAATTATACCTGTGAGTGTAAGGCAATTGCTTTGCCTCTAAGCTGATTGAACCTTTTCTTGCCAATTATTTGACGTGTGATAACAACAACAGGAGCAAAAAGACCCTTTCCTTCATTGACATTCTTCATCATGGGAGGCGATTTCACTGGCTTCGCAACTCTAACATGGCTTGGCACTGGCTTAACCAACATGGCATAGTCTTCGCCAACAACTGAAGTGCCCCAACTTCCCATAAACGCAGTCCCAAAACCTCCCTTAAGCCCAGTTGCAGAAATTGAAGAAGCCATCGAAAACTAATCCAACCCTGGAGTTCTTTCTAGCTCTTGCTGTTCTCTTCGAAATTAATTTGGATAGTGTTTCATCTGCTTTACAAGCAAGCCTGTGATGTATGTGTTTTCTAGGTTTTTCTGCCCCTGGAGGATATGTTTTTTGGTGTAAAATACGAGAGCCTCTGGTTTTTTATTAAAGGGTGGTGGGAGAGAGATCTTCATGGGGCATTGAGAACCACACATGCTTGGTGGCTTGGATTTTTGTTCAGATTTCAGACCAAACACGTATATCACAAGTACTTGTCCTGTTATTACTTACGATCCAAATTTTTGGAGGAGAAAATCTTGATCTGGAATTTTAGTGGCTCTTTGTTCAAGGATGGGCCCTCATTCTACCATTTCTTGACGCGTCAGAGCTTCCATGGGATCATTCTGGACGTTAATTTCTCCTTTCAAGATGGAAAAAGAGTTCGGAGTAGCTGTGGTTTCTTACCTAACCAAAAGACCATTGAAATTGAGTGCGAAACTCACTTTGTATTTTCCATTCCTCAGTTCTTGGATGCTACGCATCGCAGGCTGCTTGTGTTGTATTTTTCTTGAAGTCTTTTTGTTTTTGTGGTTTTTTTTAAATTAATATTTTTTTATATATTTTCAGGTTGATATTTTTTTTATTTTAAATTAATGTTTTTTTTATATATTTTCAGGTCGATATATTAACATTAATAATAATTTTTTTTTAAATAAAAAAATATTATTTTAATATATTTTTAAATTAAAAACACTTTTAAAATAAACACTTTCTATACTCCCAAACATGATATTAATTACTAAAAAATAATATCTTATCATTACAATTTTCTAATCAAGAATGAAATCAATTGAATGAATTGAGGCGAGAAGAAAAATAATTACACAAGATATCGAAAAGGATTATAATATAAATAATGATTAGATTGTTTAGAATTGGTTTGAAATCTTTCAATTGTGCATGCTATTTGTTTCTTCAAATATTAATAATTTATAACATCATAAATTTATGGATTGCTCAATTTTCTTGAAGAACTCAGTGGCTGATACAGCCTTTGCTTCCTAGATTTCTGAGTGCTCTGATCTGCATCATGGTATAATTGAGTGGCAAGTAATTGATTGAGTGGTCAAAATTTAAATAAATGATTAGGCACTTTCAAGTATTGTGTTTCATCTTTAATTTTTTTAAAATTTATTTTTTTATATTTTTAAATAGTATTAATATGGTAATATCAAAAATAAATTTTAAAACATAAAAAATAATATTATTTTTATATATTTCTAATTTTTTTAAAAATAACATTTACGAACATGAATTTTAAAAGTTGTGTGGTATAAGAGTGCAAATGATAAAAAAAGATTTCTATTTAATGACTGTTTAGATAACAAGTAATTATTTTTTAAAATATTTTTTTAATATATTAAAATAATATATATTTGTTAAATTTATTTTTAATATTAATATATTAAAATGATATAAAAATATAAAAAAATAATTTGAAACTAATTTTTTTAAATACAATTGAACCGTAATACCAAACAAATAATTAATAAAATGCAATACTTCTCTCACAGATTGCTACGAGATTGATCAAATCACTTCAACTTGTTAGAAAGGCTAAATAAGCAATAATTGTGCACTTTTTTTTTTTTAAATGTAGCCTGCGTTGAACCCGTCGCGTTAATTTTATTAATTACAACAAAAACTAAAAGGTCGAATCTATTTTGTTTTTGAATTGTTTTTGGTTATTGATTTTTTTTGAAAAAATTGATCCTTTACATTATGTGTCGAGAAAATAAATATTTGTTACAGAATTAATATTTAATTTTAAAAGTATTTAATTTTTTATTATATAATTAAATAAAACATAATTAGAGAATAATCAAAATCATTTTAATATACTATTGTTTTAATATTTTTTTAATTTTTATTTTGAAGTTTTTTTAAAAAAATTAAACCATGTTTTTATGAAAGTTGCTTTTAAACTTGTAAAATCAATTAGTTTATTTAATGTTAACTCCTATATTATTTAATTACAATTTCAAATTAAACAAAGAGTCAAATATATATATATATTAACTCCCTTGTCCGAATTTAATAACACTGCTAGCATTTCTTTTACTTTTTAAAAAAGTTGGTCTAAAGTATGGCAACGGGCGGACCAGTGTACTAGTAAATTCTAATAGACGGGTATTGACCCGTTATCACCCGGTTCTCTCCTGGCACCGTTCATAGCCTTATAAGTTGTAATAGGCGAAGCTCATTATTATTCCAGGCCATTTATTGTGTAGTTTTTATCTACGAAAACATCAAAGAAAATAATCAATAAAATTACTTAATTAATTTCTATAGACAAATCGAGCATATTCAAAGAAATCTGAATGTCTGCTGTCCTGCTTTTCCCTTCCTGATAAGGTCTGGGCTGGATTCTTACATCCTAGTTTGATTTTTTTAGGGCTCTTGCCTCCTTTACTGGGCAAGAGACTACTGCCATACAGACTCGCGTCTGCACATGTGTGCTTGCAATGGAAGATACCCCCTTACAGGTGATGATTACTCTGGCAGTAGAGCAGAGGATGTTGTTAAGCCCATGGTTGGGATGGACGGTCACCTTTATTTTTTTTTTTAAATTATTTTTTTTAGTTTTCAATTTTTTTAATGTTTTTGAATATTATTAATATGCTGGTATCAGAAATAGATTTTAAAACATAAAAAATAATATTATTTTTATATGTTTCCAAAAAACAAAACTCTAAAAATAACATTTATCATACTTCTAATAATATCACAAACTTTAAAAGTTGTGTGGTATAAAAGTGCAAGTGCTAAAAAAGAGTTCTATTTGATGATTGTTTAGATAATAAGTACAAAATACTTTTTTAAATTTTTTTAATACATCAAAATAGTATATATTTGTTAAATTTATTTTTAATATTAATATATTAAAATGATATAAAAATATAAAAAATAATTTTAAACTTTTTTTCAAAAAAATACAATTGAACCGTGATACCAAACAAATAATTAATAAAATGCAAAACTTCTCTCACAAATTGCTACGAGATTGATCAAATTACTTCGACTTGTTAGAAAGGCTAAATTAGCAATAAGTGTGCACTTTTTTTCTTTTTAATGTAGCTTGCATTGAACCCGCCGAGTTAATTTTATTAATTACAACAAAAACTAAAAGGTCGAATCTAGTATTTTATTTTTTAAATTGATCCTTACATTATGTGTCTAGAAAATAAATATTTGTTACAGAATTGAAGTATTTATTTTTTTATTATATAATTAAATAAAATATAATTAGAGGATGATGAAAATTAATTTAATATGCTATTATTTTAATATTTTTTTAAATTTTTTATTTTTAAATTTTTTTAAGTTAAATTATGTTGTTATAAAAGTTACTTTTAAACTTGTAAAATCAATTGGTTTATGTAATGTAAGCTCCTATATTATTTAATTAAAATTTCAAATTAAACAAAGAGTGAAATATCTTTTTTTTTCCCCTTAAACTAACTCCCTTGTCCGAATTTAATAACACTGATTTCTTTTACATTTAAAAAAAGTTGGTCTAACCCATAACGGGCGGACCAGTGTACTGGTAAATTCTAATAAACGGGTATTGACCCGTTATCACACGGGTCTATCCTGGCACCGTTCATAGCCTTATAATAGGCGAAGCTCATTATTATTCCAGTCCATTTATTGTGTAGTTTTTATCTTAGAAAAAATCAAAGAAAATAATCAATTAAATTACTTAATTAATTTCTATAGACAAATCGAGCATATTCAAACAAATCTGAATATCTGCTGTCCTGCTTTGCCCTTCCTCATAAGATGTGGGCTGGATTCTTACATCCAAGTTTGGGTTTTTTTATGGCTCTTGCCTCCTTTACTAGACGAGACTACTGCCATACAAACTCGCGTCTGCACATATGTGCTTGCAATGGAAGATACCCACTCACAGGTGATGATTACTCTGGCAAGAGAGCAGAGGATGTTAAACCCATGGTTGGGATGGACGGTCATAGCCTTCTGTTAGCTGTGAGTTTTTATGGGGATTTTGGTCTTGTGGAACTGCGCAAGTTCATGATTATAATCAACAACTTCCACACATATGCAGGAGCTCACCTCGCAGAAAAACAAGTATTCAAGTTATCTGAGCCTGGGTTTCTGCTGGGGCTGAAGTGGTTCTTCAGTGGGGTCGAGGATTCATGTGCTTGGCATTTTGCAGATTTTCATTTACTCTTCATTCACTCATTGTTTCCAAATTTATTCCTCTTCTCCAATGGTGTTGACATTCCCAGCTTCTGCCGGAGCTAACTTGGCCATTGACATCCAAATGTTTGTCAGGACAGTGGCATCCTATTTTTTTGGAGAGGAAGAAACAGGATGCGCAGGGTTCCAAAGGGTCAGTTGCTTCAGGCTTGATATGTGATGATGGACTGGGGGCAATATATATCTTCAGGCAATCCCATCAAATTTTGGGATGGATCCACCTATTGGCAGGCGGTTTGAATCTTCTTGGAGTAGCTGAGCATGGAAGTTTCATTGACCAAATTTGGGGTGTGTGATCAGCTTTTGTTCATTAGAGGACAGCTTGAGATCTGTGACCCAGTCTCTTACCCCATCTTCTATCACAACAACTTGCTCAGGCATGGCTGTTCCATTGACCTTCTCTAATCCGGCACTGACTTTTGTTGTTAGCAACAATCCATGTTAGTTGGTTTTCATATAGCACAGCCAAATGTATATATTTAACTACAAGTTTTCCAATTCGTAGTCACAAGTCAAATTTAAGTAAAAATTTTCAGAATATAATCGCTCATTTTGTTTTTAACCCTGGCCCTCTTCGGGATTGCACTCAAATATCAAAATTGGATTTATTTTTTTAATATTTTTGGATGATTTTAATGTTAAAAATAAAAAAAATATTATTTTCATATATATATTTTTTAAAATTTTAAATAACAATCCTCATCAAACTTTACAAATAGATTTAATTAACTCTCGAATATCAAAACTAAATTCACAGTTTTGATCGATTAAAAAATAAAATATTTACACTTGACCTGGATAATTAAATCCATGAAAGTTTTGCTTTTGATAACATAATAATATGATATGAGATTTAGAATTTTAGATATGATAGCCAACCTAATTTTAGTAGCATTTGGCGACAACGTAAGAGAAGGAGGCAGTTAAGAGTTAAATTCACTGTAAAATTGGTTTAAAATATATTTGTTTGATGGATTTGTCCTAATCCTTCGAGTCAAACAACTAATGTATTTTCTGCAAACTGTGTCTTCTACCTTAAAACAAGGTAAGCCATGTTTAAGTGCCCGCATGACATCTGACTGCCCCTACCATTTGCAACCCAAAAAAACTAAAAACCGGCCTCAAAACAGAAGGACAAGTTGGAAGACCATCGATCGAACATAGGAACAACGAGGAAGAAAAAAATGGCATCACTTGTAACCCATTTGTGTGTCACTCTTCTCCTTCTCCCTATAGGCATCCGCCGTCTCTTTTGCTCGTCTTCTCTTTACCTCAAGAACCCATCTCTTTTTAGATCCAAAACATGGTACCTCTCTGATCCCAAATGGAAAAATCTTGATTTGTACGTCCTCACCGTAGCCCTCCCTATTGCTTCTTTTTCTTTAATCTTTCTTTTCTTCTCCATTACTACTGGTCACACAACTTACCGTTTCTCCTTCTTGCATGGATCATTGCTTCTTTTTCTTTACTGGGTCTTGGCAATTTTGTTCGTTTTATGTGATGCCATTGACCCTGTAGTCATTCTTGATAATTTCTTGTTTGTGTTTGGTGGGATTTTGTTTTTCGTAGAGTACTCTTTTATTGGTGAGGGCACTTCTGGTCTTGTTGTCGAGGTTTTTTATGGTTTGTGTGGTGGTTTGAGTCTTGTTTGTGGGTTTTGTTGTTTGTATTTGGCTATTAGGCCTGGTGCATTTTTTGCTGAGTTTTGTTTGTGTTGTGGGTTGGTTTTGAAGGGGACTTGGTTTTTGCAAGCTGGGTTGTGTTTGTATACTGATGTTTTTGGTTTTAAAGGGTGTCACGAGATTAATATTTTGCCTGGAAGTGGAAATGTTGAGTTGAAGTGTGATCTTGAGGAGGATGGGTTGAGGGGTGTGGCATTGGTGAATTTGATGTTTGTTGGGCATGCAATCGTGGTCTTTCTTGTGAGTTTGGGGTTGTTTGGATTGTTGTCAAGTAATAGGAATTTGAGGCATGGTGAAGCAAGTGGTCCTTTGCTGGCAGGGCTTGATTCTGAGAGTGCTTTGATGCGGGCGCTTCCTGAATTTGAAGTGGAATGAAGTGTATGTTATTCTTTTTTTATTTTCTTGCCTTTTCCCCTGTATTGATAATACACAATTTTGGTGTTTAATGGGATTTAATCGATTGTTTGTTCATACATACAAGGCAATGGTGTTCTTTTCCTGACAAGCTTTTGCTGTTTACACACAGAAATTGGATACTAGATTGTCTTTTTATTTCCGAATTACCTTTTATCAGTGAATGAATATGTTTTTCTTTTAATTTATTGTTTTCATTTATTTAATAGTGCTGGCAATACAATCGAACTTATAAGACTAATTAAGGTGGATAGACTTGCTTTCATACTTGTGTATTTGATGAGAGGCCATAACGTAATCATGCAAATAGCCAAGTACAGCTGCAATTCTGGAGGAAAATGAAAGCAATGTTCAAACGAAATGTCATATATTATCATGTGCAGAATCGGTTGGAATTTTTTTCATTCCTTTTTGTTTAGCAGGATATGCTTCTAAAGCTGAGTTCCTCTATTCTTGCATTGTATAGTAAAAAGATACATTTCATAATCTAATAAAGAGTACAGACATGGATGAACTGCCAAACATTGAAGCAATTTGAGCCCTTGTTTTGTTGTATTCAGTATTAGATCACTTGCATACTGAATGAATTCCAAACATGTTACCATTTGCTGATATGATAAATTGGAAACAGTCTCGGAATCACACACACACACACACACACACACACACGTATCTATGCGATATAGAAAAAATGACTTGATCCTTATAATGCCTTACTAACATGTGCTTGCGAAGATTACCCTGACATGAGTACCATTTTCTGCCTACTTCGATGGGCAGGGGCAGCAAAGGATTTAGGGATTGAGGGGCCAAAAAGAATGGGTGTATATATTTGGGAAGGGCTTCTAGATTTGTTCCTGCTTGTGGGTGAAGGCTATTACTTTGTTATGTGGTAAGTAACCGGTAAATAGTTTTCGGAAACGGTTGCTGGAGTTGCCTATTGGCATCAGTAACATTTGTAGCATAGTGTGGGCCTCCAAATTGCTGGAAACAGATAGCTTGTTACTGCTTTGTGTTCCTCCCAAATGCATTGGTTCATGCTGTTGTTATGAATGATCACAGTTGATTAACTCTAGTAATTCAACTGGATGATAATGGCCACAGATTCTTTAGACCTCTGAAGTGATCAAGTGTTAAAGTTCAACACTTTAGACAGGTGGGTTTTGATTTTCTTTCATATGGAAGTAAATAGCCACAACCTTTAAAAAAATTCAGTTCTGCAGTGACTAAGATTTCATCTCATGACAGTATGTAAAGTAGCAACACAGAGTATCTTCCAATAAAATTTTGGATTCTAGGCAGAGATATCATGGGATCTATGATAATTTTTTGGATTTTTTATATCCCTTTGTTTCACTATCTTTCAAGTTGAAGAAATTGTTGTTTTTGTAGATAAAATGCATGAAGTGGAGCCGTTACTTCATGATTTTTAGTTCTTCAATGATGTCTTTGGAGACAATTAGAAGGTCTTGAGAATTTGACGTCAGATTTTGAACATGGTAAAACGTAAGGACTTTTATGGTGACTTGAATTCACTGAAAGACCATGGCCTTACCAATTCATGTGTTCATAACTGTTGAACTCAGGTGCTAATGCTTTGCTGGAGAGCTTCTTTTATCATTCTCACATTCTACTTCTCACAAAACCGTAATCTTTGATTATCATGGAACCTTTATTTAATATATTTGTTGTAGGAAGCTGAAATTTATAGCCCCCCTCCCAATTTTTTCCATCAAAGTGTGCAAAGAAATGGAATGTGACTGTCCTTCCAGTGTTGTGCTTGCTAGATGCTTTATTGAAAAACAAGCTGTTGGAGCATGAGGAGGATCTGGCATTCAGAAGAGGAAGAAGTGATTCAGGAGCAACATCTGAGTCGTATGTTAAATTTGGTTGGTACTATAGCATGCTACTGAAGAAAGACTTATTTGAATGTGCCCTTGGATAAAAGAAGAAATGAGTTGGAGAATAGATGTGATTCAAATCAAGATGTTTCTAGTATCCTGTAAGCAAAATTACATAACTTTTCTAAAAATACAGTTTTAGATGATGAGTTTTTCTCAGGTTCTGATGTCCGTTTTGTGCTAACAAATGAGTACTTTCTACATGTTATACTTTTGTTGCCATCTCTCTCTCTCCCACAGACACATGCACTCAAGCATACCCATGCAGGCTTGCGCGCACACACACTTTTGACCTTTTCTAGTTTAGTTTTCATCCACATTTATCAGTAAACACACAAGTCAAATTTGAAATTATATTATCACTTTTGAGAATTCTCAGCAGCAAATGATGTTGTTGGCTTTTGACCTATAAGGTACCAGATGCTTGTCTTCTGGTTTAGTATTTTAATGTTTGGTTAAGTCCTCAATTACTGATCTACCTTGGAGGTTTCTTCCTCTCGTTTACTGAACTGGAACTGTTGCCACCGCATACTATATTAAAGGAACATAGGAGGTTTTTCTTTTTTGAAAAATATTACCATTTCTTGGTAGTTGACTTCCCTTGTTAAAATTTTTGACATTGTGATTTTCATGTATATTTGTATACCTATTCCTCAACTATCATTCTGCTTATCAGTCTGGTTTGTTTACCTCATTCATTTTTTTTCCTATCCATTTTGCTTGCCTGGCATGTTCCACTTCAGAAGGTGAAGCAAATAGAAAAGTCTTAGGGCCTTATTGCACAACTAAGGTTGCTTGAAGAAATTTAGACAACCTGGTTTTTCCTTTTTCGGCAATGTGGAGGTATATCTGATTAATAAAAAAAAATAGGGAAGGTTGTTGGAGAGGTCCTGTTAGCATGTGTTTGCGTGTGCGCATGAGCTCATGCGGGCACTCGTGCTGGTGGGGAAGAGTGATTGTACTGTAGAAGGGATGAGGGTATAACCATGGATGTCAGCATGTGTAACTAAACAAGTCAAGTCTGTATAAGAAACATGTACGTAATCAGGATGGTGGGGGTGACTCCTGTTGAAGGGAAGTTAAAGGAGAAATTAGGATGATCTACTTGCATCCAGCATCAAAATCTAAATGACTGATGAGGAATGTGATCACGTTGAAGTATCAGGACAGACAAGGGGGGTGGATGGAAAAAATGCCATGGGTTAGAATGATAAAGAATGGTTTAGCATTGTTACAATTTATGAAGAATCTTACCTAAAATAGATCTGGATGGAAATTCATGGAATTGAACCTAAATAGTTTAAGATTGAGGGTTATTAAGCTAAGACAATAACAAATAAACCGAAAATGTCTTGAGTTGAAGTTGCAAAAAAAGAATAAAAACAAGAAATTGTAGCTTTAAACAGACTGGAGAGGGATAGTATTCTTTAAGTGACCCCGCATATGAGAAATCCTATCTAGCATCTTTTAAGTGGATATAGAGGAATCATGCATCAGTAGCTTCAGTTCTTTTGGTGATCTAGGTAGTGTACCCTATTGGAGTCATTTGCAATGTAAATGTTCTAATGTTGTTCTAGTTGGGGCACGCAGTCGTAAGCTGAAGAGAAATTCAACTACATAGTTTCATCTGTAATTCATGGTTCTACTGCCCTGAAAAGCAGGTTTTGCTTGCTATCTAATGATAATTACCTTTCCTTCTTACAGGTTTCTTCATAGAAGGTTTGATGACAAGGGTGTGCTTGTGAGGAAGGAGATAGCAACCGAAACTTTATCAAGTAGTAAAAACTAGAATTGCATGCAAAGCATAGTATATGTCTGCTGGCTATGATAGATTCAAGTTTATTATCCACAGAAAGAATGCTTCAACTGTTATTTTTTGCTGTGTTACAAGGTTCAGCAAAAGAAGGAAATTTATAAAAGTCTTGGTTCAAGACTTTCAGAAAAGCAATGACAGTGGCTGAAAATCTCTAGTAAGTTTCTCTGACCTCTTGATGTAGTTTAATATGTAAATCAGATTTTGAATTCTAGTTATAAACACATTAATATGAATGTCACATTACAGGAAGTATCATGAGTTTGACTAATGTTGCTTTTCTTTTTCCTGGTTGTGTATGAACTGATATGAACTTCAAACTTCTCTTTACAGTGTCATTGTCAATATGGTTAGATACATTTAATGATAGGCCTGATGACTCTTGAAATTGCTATATTGCTATTGTCACAACCTTAGTAGATTAGAGCAACATGCATCTTTGATGTTCTTCTACAAGACAAACACAGGTTATGATAGAAGTTCACATATTGCACAAAAGTACATCTCATAACTGAAAACAAGAATATGTAACATGAAGTTTAAATTATTGTAGTTTAGTATATCCCAGTGGAGAAGAGAACTTTGGGATTGTCAACCATCGTCTACGAAAATGCCGAAATCCATGGATTTTAATCCGAAAACGAATTTGCATGATCTTCCTGGTTAAATCACGACATCTTCTTTTGAAGTTTTTTGGTTTTGATAAGCTTACCAGTTTTCCACCATACCTGCTTTCTGCATGTGCTGGAAAACAAACAAAACATGAATGTTAACTAAAAGTAAAAGAAAACCTATTTGTCACTTCTTTCTTAACCCACTCTCTTGTCATCATTCTGCTGTAATTTCTCGTAGCATCATATATATGATGGGATGTCTTGTGAATTAGTTAAGTGTTTCTAAGCTCTGCATCGCTCAAAATATAGAGACCATCTGGTGCCTCTATGTGAAGCAAAAGGGAACTTTCCCTTGTTCTTTTCTTTAATTTTCTCTCTAATAACATCAATGACCCGAACACTTTACCTTTGACCTTTTTAACATTTCCATTCTCTTGCAATTTCTCCTCGTGCAAGACCTGCAAGTTGCAGCAAGAAAATTAGTCTTGCTGTCCTCTTGTTGAGGGCTGATGTATGATTGACTCACGATTGCTTTTCTTGCAATGTGGAGTTGCTAGGTTAGATCCTAAATTACCTTTTGGAGTGCAAGGGAAGAAAAACAAAAATTGAAATGCAACAGTTAATTGTTCAATAACAAGAGAGGAAAACTGCAGTGCTTTTTGGTTATCTGAATAAAGTTTGCTAAGAATATGATGCTTTCTGTTAGGTTTTGTTCAGCACCTCAACCAAACTTTCCAAACGCTTTTGCATCCTTCTTTGTATGAAACCTCTGGTGCACTATAAGAAAAACTCTTGTCAGCAAAGGACGTATGCACTATCAACTCCTGTGCTTAACACCCCTCATGCCCAAAGAACTTCAACAGAAATAAATAAAAGAAAAAGCCTTGATAGAAAGTATTACCTTTACGTGGTTTTTCACGTAGGCATAGAAGTTTAATAGACTCCATACAGTTTTGTCTAGTTTTTTACCTTCAACATGGTGTGAAGAGATATCTGGCAATATGGCAGCAAATATGTTAGCTTAAACATGCTCAAGGAAAACAAACGCTTATTAATATCCAAATGAAAAGTTTCATAATCAATGAATTTAGTTTCTATATTTTGTGTATGAAAATTATAACTAGTTGTCAAGCGATTGTGTATTTTCAATGATAATTATTGCAAAATGATGGAATTGTTGTTTAAGCCACTTTATGCATGGTTTTGTGTTCAGTTATGAGCAAGGGGATACCAAAACAGACAAACCCTCCATTGGTGCTTAAATCTTCTAAAGGTTCTCCTCTCAGTTCTGGTGGAGGAATGGGTGACCAGGTGCAAGGTGGAGCTTTAGCCCATTTTTCTGAGCTGCCCACATCCATGAGTTCCTAATTCGAAAAGGAAAAGGATAAAAGGTAATAAAGATACCATCATTTCTAAATACCAACAAGAGAACTTCAGGACCAAAAATCAGTTGAATGTCTCTGATGTTAGAGTTTTGCAAACCTGAAAGAAGGCCGTCGCAATAATCACATCTGAGTGCTCTCTAAAACGCATTGGGAATACTGCTGTGATTTTTTGTGGCTGTCAAACAAAAACATTTACTTTAATTTAGCAAACTGGAGTCAAGTTTTTATTCATTCAAAATTTGGTAGTGGTGCTGTTGCCAATTCTAAATAGTGATCTACTGCAGTTTTTATTATATCAAATAAGTGAAGAGGGTGGCTTTTAGCGGATATGAATCTTAATCGAACATATCCATCTCTTAGCATGTTATGTTTTGATATCTTTATTTACCTTGCTGTTTTGTGGAGATTTTCATGAAGGATATAAAAGGTTGGATTTAGCTGAAAACTAAGTTGTTTGATCATTTAAAATGGCTTGAAATGCCAAAACTATTTCAAGTGTAAAACTTAGCCAGATTTCAAGCAAGGCTAGACTGCCAAATTGGCAATGACTTTATTTACCTTATAGGTTTCTGGCCAGACTGTATTTATAGCATTTCTAGAAAGATTGTACAAAACTCAGAAATCTTGAAATCAAAATCTGGCACACTGTCATTGGAAGTTATTAGTAGACTGGCAAAATTGTTATCAAAATCAGTCTTTCACTATGATAATACTTCATCAAGTCTAATATTGTCCCTTGGGGATTGAGACCTTAATTAGAAGAAGATGGGGATTGCATGAGTGGCTATACCTGTCTGATGACATAGAAGGGCTCCCTTGGGTGATAGACAAGTTTAATTGGCTTATTCATTCCTTGGGATGTATCCTGGGAATTGACATTTCTCAACATTTCTTTCAGCTGGGAACTTAGTATTACTGCTTGCACTGAAGAAATTTGTGTAATCACTTTTTCAGAGTCTGGAAAAGGAAAATACGTATCAGCATGGTTATGAAGTGTGGAAATTTGACAGCCTGTTATGAAAATAGATAAAAAATAAACATCTCCTATTAGGATTCTGTTCTTTCCTCTTTCATTCCTTACAAAATGCTTAGATAATTTTTCAAGCACCAACAGAACCAGAAGCAGCCCTTGTTTCAAAGAGAAGATCAAGATGTTAATTTCATGCTTAAAAAACTTGAAGATTGCACTGGCTATAATGACGAGTCATTTAGCATAAAGTTTCTTTAGCACTAATTTGAATTAGTTTTATGATCTTGAATTTGAATGCTATGTCTATATTTAGTAGAAGCCATATGTTCAAATCCTTTATTTCAACTCTATTATTATTTCAACTCCCACCTAAACATATGATACTATTTTCTTCGTTGTTGACTTCTTTTCAGGAGTATTATCAGGTAATGCCTAAACATATGATACTATTTTCTTCGTTGACTTCTTTTCAGGAGTATTATCAAGTAATCTTTTTATTTCCTGCATTCAAGTGTCATGGAAAACTTCGTATGGATGTCTTCAAATATTGTGAATGGTGGTACTTGGCTGAATCAGGAATTCTGTTATTTAAGAGGAAATCTATTTCAGTGCTACAGTTTAGTTGATCAAAATGGTAGGTATAGTTTGTCTAGTTTGGGTGGTTAAACTTCTCGTTGTGCTGTTAATCTGTCTTTGCTATAAACCCTGAACTCAGATTTACTGCATACAGTTCTTGTATTTCTTGTTCGTGTTAAGAAATCGCACAATTTTCTTCCCATTCAAGCTCCAGCTTAGTTTCTTTTTTTAAGGTAGCCTCCTATCAGAAATTTTACATATTTCTCCTTTCATGTGTGCAGCTCGGTCTTCTTTTGTAGATGGAGATTTTGGAACTTCTCTCTCTCTGTAATATACTATAGTATACTGAAAGCTATTCTTAATTTTTTTGGTGAATAGAAGGAATAACATGCTTAAATGCAAGATAGTACTATTATGTGTCACAAAGCACCAAGCAGCTGTTTTTTTGTTTTTAAAAAATTGGTGTTGATTTGGAGAAGTAGCAAACCTTTTCCAATTGGAACCTTAGCAAAATTTAGCTTTAGGGTTAGCTGATATCCTTCTTTTGCGGGTTCAACAATCTCCACAGCATCCGAGCAAACTTGTTTTACCATCTGCATGGTGTATGATGACAACCCGTATGATAGCAGGGCTCCTTGGGACAGTAGTGGAGTTGATATTGACAAGTAGTTATGTTGTGGATCAGCTGCTGAAGACTGAATATTACAGGATGATTATCAGAATAGTTCATCAGCTGCTGAAGACTGAATATTACAGGAATATCAGAATAGTTTTCAACATTTTGTTGACAGCCTATATATATGTTGACAGGTAGTGGGCATGTGCTTTTTGATGATGCACTCAGCCATTAATCACAATCATTTCTAGAATTCTTGCATATTTCTCGATGCTGGGTCATTCCAACTATTTTTCGAGTCAATTACTTGGACATTCTAATGTGGTGTCAACTACAATCGGTCGCATCAAGTAGAAAGTGAATGTTGACATAAGTTATCTGTAATAAATTAAATTTTATCATGCTAAGAATGCAATAGACTAACCTGAACATGGTATTCCACAGACCCAAATTCATACAAGTGATGGTCAATCTCCACAGGCTTCTCAGCGCTATCATGAAAGGAAGCACATCAATTTTCAACATAGTTTTTGTTAATCATCCTTGCAACTTGAGATACAGTATTTGCTACTTGGGATGTAAAGGAGAAGAAAGAAACTTCAAATTTGTCCAGAGCAATGAAAGCCTACTACTTTCAAGGGTAGCATTTTCCGAGTTTCCTTCTCCTTTCCTCTACTACTAGAGAATGGATATCTAGAATTGCTTCCATTTTCTATTTTGTATAAATATGCTGAAATGATTCCATAGACTTTGGAGACTTTTTACATTAGAAGTCCATGAGATACCTTAGCAGAACTTATCATTCATTTATTTTTTAATTTCCTGCCTTTTATTTCGGGTAAGCCAATGATAAATCATCTTGTACGGAGAAGTTATCGTAAAGGGAAGAAATTTAATCATTTGTGACATGCGATTTGTGGAATTTAGATAAATAGTTCAGTGCTTGGCTTTGTTTCGCATGAAAGGTCATGTTGAGTTCTCAACAGTTTTGCTTTCTTCAGTGATATGATGTCATCAATCAATCATAGATCATGGTTTGATCTCAGCCATGAAGCTGGGAGAAGCATTTCATCTTTTATTATGCTGCATGCTTACTCATTTAAGTGGCAAACCTAAAAGAAACAGCCCGTCACAAGATGTTTCCACTTGAGGGAGCTGCTCAACTTTACCCCACCCACCAGCTATTGCGTTTCATTGCTTATCTACCTGGAAAACACAATCTATTCTATCCACCAGACAATTATAGAGTCATCATTCAAGAGGGAAGCTACCTTCACCCTCCCTGTTTAGCCACGCAATCTTATGTTTTTACAATAATATCTTGGTAATACACATTCTAATGTCTAGATTCAATATTTCATCTATCTAGAAATTTAATATTGAAGTTATGCAGGTTCATGAGTGTGATGGTAATGAATCCTTGAAAACCTACATTTGAAAAAAAGAAAAATGCTAGAAGAGGTGATAGGCATCCCAGAAAGACTCACCGATATAACTTGAGCAGGATCTCCCTGAGCGCGGGCGACACCCTATCAAAGCATGCCATGTTGAAGAAACCTCTCTCAAGTCCTGCCTCACATGGTGGTGGAAATGAACTGAGATGTTCAACTTTAAATCCAGATGGTTTTGTCCATATCTATGAAGTTTGAGTAGAAAGCAAGTTGAAGTCCTGCCATCATTGTTTAGCAACCCTTGAAGCAAGTACCTACCATCATCACTTCCCTCTCATTTCTCCATCCTTCTTTGTTGTTTGTGAAGTACGCATAATGGATCACCTGTCCACACCCTCCCACTGTAAACTTTTCTCTAAGGATTTTATATCATTAACAAGTCTAATAATATTTGCATGAGCCATGAGCTTCGCTTGTAAAAACACAAATACTCAATTTGCGTGTGTTGTTTGCGAGTCAACACAATTTCAGATTAGAAGATTCTTCTCACGTACCCACTGGATTTTCTCCACCGATTTTTCCTAGATCCATCCATAATATAATATCGTTTCTTTTGCTGGTTGTCCTTGCAGTAATTTTGGCACTGAATTATTATTTACTCCTTTTCTTTTGAACTGAGGAAGCTTTGCATCAGCTTGATCATCATTTATGGCAATCTATCAATGGAAGTGCCAGAAAAAAATAAAAACAATTGTAAGATCATACGACGTTTCATTTCTTTTTTTTTTTTGTCCAAAACATTTCATGTAAATATATATCGGAAAAACTGTTAAAAACAAAGTCAATAGATAGGGAAAGATGAAACAAATGCATGCTTTGGCTCAAATAAATATAAATGCATTCTACAATGAATCTAAAAAGAAAGAAAAAAACCCTCATAAAACCATAAATTACTAACAATCTAAAAGCTAATTAGAAAATAAAATAAATTACAACACACAGGACTAACAATTGATGAATTTTAATTAATTCAACTTACTGTACAAACAAAAATTGACCTCCAAGCATATATATATATATATATATATATAGCTTTGGTGAGACCAATTCCCCTTTAGTTTTTCTTTTCTTTTCTTCATGTATCCAATTCCCCTTTAGTTTTTCTTTTATATATATAGCTTTGGTGAGACCAATTCAAGGCAAAGGCCACTTGTATATATATATATATATATATGAAGAAAAGAAAAGAAAAACTAAAGGGGAATTGGTCTCACCGAAGCCAAAGGCCACTTGTATTAGAATAATCAACATTCAAGGCAAAGCAAAGAACCCCACATTGAAATTGTCTCCTCTTCCACTGACAGCTATGTACCACCCACTTTCCATGGCATGTAGGTTTTTGAAGCTGTGGGAACAATTGTATTTTTAAAATATTTATTTATTAAAAAAATATGTTTTTTTACTTTTTAAATATTTTTTAAATATTAATAATTAAAATACAAAATATAGTTTTTTTTTAAACTAACGTGCACCGTCAACCGCACTTTAATCACTGTCAGCCGTTGTATCATCTCCCCTCTCCTCTCCACCACTTACAAAGAGGAAAAAAAACAAATAATAATAATAATAATAATACTAAAGAATTAATTAAGAAAAATACAAAGGATCATGTCGAATTTAAGTACATTGTGAAACAAAAATTACTACAAAACAACTCTCTGTTATGTTTCCTATCTTTATGGGTTCCTCAAAAAATCAATCTTCGGTTTATCTTTTTTATTAAATTAAAATTAAATGGTTTCATTTTGTCACTGGTTTGATCTACTTTTCTGTACGATTAATCTTATTTTCTCTGTCTTAACGTTCGTTTCCTTTTTCATTCATCTAACAATTAGCTAAAACGAAACTCTCTTCCTCTTCCTCTGCCTCGTCCTCTTCTTCTTCTTTCTTTTCAAAGCTCCTGTTTTTTCTCACTTTCTTGGGAAAGTAATGTTATTCCCTCCTCCTCTCAATGACTTCTCTTTTTTACACCCCTTTTCTTTTAGATTTCTTGATTTTGTATTTTATTAATCCAGTTCAGAGTTTGATCATGTCAAAAACAAGCGTTGACCTTGTATTTTGATCGTCAAAACCCTAGCAAAACAGCCTTCACCACACAAAAAGTTTGGGTTTTGGGGTTGAGGTTTGTTGATTCTTGATGTTTAGACAGCTGGGTTGGTGTTATTTGGGTTAAATATGTTATTTTGATTGGTAGAATTGGGTTTTTTTAGCTGTGCTTTTCATTCTTTTTTAGGATTGTGGGTGTATATTTAGTAGTCAATGGACAAGGAGGATGCTAATGGATTAAAAAACGAGCCTTTAATTATGACTCTAGACTCTCCAAAAGCTGAGGAGGATGTTGAAGGGAATGGAGAAGATTATAGTGAGTTCAAGGCTTTGTTGCCTCCTAGGGAAGGTGGAATGTCAAGAAATTCAGACAAAGTCAGGAGAAAAGTTCAGTGGAATGATAATAATGGGAATAAGCTTGTGGAGGTTTTAGAATTCGAACCCAGGTAATTTTATAGTTTTTATCAGAATTTTGGCTTTTTTACTTTTCTGGCTATGGTTTTGTTGTCTGATATTTGGTTCACAAGTTGAGCTGTGAGTTTTTAGTTTTGGAACCTAGTTATGACTTAATTATCAAAAAGAAAAGTTGGCGTACACGTGCATTTGTGGGCATATAATCTGGCTGTGCTTGATCATCTATGAGCAGATTAGCTTCAGATTAATTGATAGATCTGGTTGGGGTTATCCTGGTAGTTTTTAAGTTATTTGCAAGCATTTGGATGACTTGTTTTGGCTATGAATTTTTATACTTTCACTCAATTTGAGTAGAAGTGAATCTGTATGAAGTACGAATATTATGCAAGTTCCATGCATAACATGCAATTGTTTCTGGAATGAGCTTTAATTAAAGATCAGGCTGAAGTGAGTAAAAGTGTTTGTGGTATAAGCGGAGCTTGACCCTCTTGAGTTCGCATTCCGTTTTTTAGATTCTTGATCAGTCCCGTTTACAGAAATATCTGGCTGTAAGAGCTAGAACTGGCAGGGCTTGTTCCATTGATGGTCATTACATAACAAATTACGTTGTATTCATTTGATAGTCTAAAACCCAGTCCTGTTTCTATTTAGTTTGGAAGCCTTATGACATAAGTTACCACTTACAAAGTCTATTTTCTTCTAATCTTTGAACAACTATCATTGTTGTGTTTTTCGATGGATACATTGCCAATGTTCTTGCCAAGCGGTTATTCATCTAGAATGAAAAGGATAAGCCCATTCAACATCATCTAACAATAATTGTGGGGCTTAATCATCTAGACCTCTTGGAGAAAAAGTTATGCAATTAATTCATGAAACTCTACTACCCATGAGGTAAAATGAATATTATCATTATAATGCTGGAAACTTCCTGAAAAATGATTTAACTTTTGCTGGGGTTACCTGTTTAAGTTGGTTGTGTAAGTACTTGATTTTTATCTTCTGATCTGCTTGCCATCCTGTGTTTAAGAAATTTCAATTTTCAGGTTCACTTACTGCCTTTTAGTGTTATTGAAATTTGGACATTAAGTGACCTCTGTTTCTGATGAAAGGAGAGGTTTGTTTATTATTTGGAACCACAGGTTATGACAATATAAAGTAATGATCAAAAAAGGGAGAAATAAAGATTACACTGAAGTTTTAAAGAACATTTGCTTTGCAGTTGGCTTTTGTTTGTATTTAGTGTACCCATACATGCCATCAGATTATTATTATTTTGTGGATCTTGTTAGTAATCTTGTGTCAGATTTTTCATTCTCTCCTTTAAGTATCCTCACAAGGTTCTATCAGGAAACAAAATTTTCATCTAGGATGATTTATTACTCCTTTTTTATCTTTCTCAGTACCAAGTCTCCATTGCTTCATGAAAAAAAAAAAAGAAGGGCTAATAGTAGTAATCTGGTGGATTTTTATCAGATCCCTTGTTTCAGCTGCTTCTGTGCAGTTCAAGTGTGGATGTTGAAATCTACATTTTGTTCTTTGTCAACCACACTGATCTGAACTTATCCCTTACATCTCTTTAGAGAATTTAGTATTACCCGGTGCAAGTCAGCTGCCTTATATTATGACAGCCTCACCCAACATTCAAATGGCCTTCAAAAAAGGAACAAGCTGTTGTTGCAATATGCCTCCCCAAAATTGAGGGCTGTAAGGAGGATATGAGTAAATTGAAGGTTAAGATAAGAAAATAATCCAAAAAAAAAAAAACAGATGTAATCTATTCCCTCCTGAACAAGACCCTGTTGCTTCCATTAGTAGGAAGACATATACTGATAATGTTTCTCATTTTTATGTCATTTGGAGCTTCAAAAATTGACCTGCTCTCTACTGTGATATTAATGTGGGTGGAAGATCCTGGTGTTTTGTTCAAAACATCCATAACTAGCACACATCCACTCATTTTGGCGAACTAGTGAAACACTCAACTAATTCAATCTGTGGTCAGTGCAACGCATTAGGTGACCTTTTCGGCTCTTCAAATCTACTACATTGCGGTCATAATTAAGTGAAAACTTAAAAATCTACATGTGTCCACAAGAAACTCTTGAGCGTGTGATGTCTTTTATCTGAGCATTGAATCACTTCTGTTCATAGATTTCATGTTAGTTGACGATTATTGTACCCCTCACTCCAGTTTTCCATTTGTGGCTGCAGCGATGTTAGTGATTCTGACGAAGAGGATACAGATTCCTGCTTATGTACGATAATGTAGATATTGTCAGTACATCAATTTGTAGATATCTACTGGATAAGCTAGAAGGGCATTCTCTCCAGCTACGGCATGATAATTGTGTGAAGGACTGGTTTCAACTTCTTGTTGTAAGTGAGGCACCTGCAATCCCTGCCAACATTTTGGCGCTGCTTGCCAAAGGGAAATATAATTAGAGCTCTTAGGTGGTTTTTGTGATGAGATTTCAAACAAGCAGCTTTATATTGGTGGGACCTAATCCTGGGAAATGAAGCAGACTGAAATAACAATGATCAAGCTTACACCATGTGGCATAGGATATCAAGTAAAACTGAACATTTTTGCTTTTCCACTTATGATTATAAATGAAGAGATGAACAAAGCTCAAAGATTATTTTCAATGAAGATTTCATGAAGTTTCATTTACTTCGACTTTATGAGACTCCATTATTCCTATCATGCCACATTTAGTTTTGCAGGCTGCTGAATGTATACAGATCAAGTCTGGAATAATGAACACAGTGATCATGAGTTAATGCCAGGCGCATTATGCATGATGTGTGCATTGATGGGTGGGGGTGAGTGGGCTCTTATTGTGTTATTTTCCCTTCTTAGGCTTTGGCTGTGTTTGTTTCCGCGGCTAGCCGTGTGTTTTATTTAAAATTATTTTTTTATATGTTTTTGAATTATTTTAATATGTTAATATAAAAAAATAAAATATATTTATTTTAATATATTTTTAAATAAAAAATATTTTTAAAAACAATTATTATTAAACTCCCAAACACTACTTTTGTTTATGCCACATTATGACGGGGATATCTAAGAACTATTTAGAAATAGAATAATAAATTAATTGTTTTTATAAAATTAGAGCCAGGAAAAAAGAAAAAGAAAAATTAACAATTTCATGTTTAAATATAGTATTTCTTTATTCATAAATCTAAAATTTAATTTTTCAGTTTTTTAAATTTGTGCCAGGTTTGAAAAACATATTTTAGGAGTTTTTCATAGATTGTTTTTACAACTTGTTCATGTTTTTTAAATGAAGTAAAGACATGAATAATATATATATATATATATATTTAGTAATGTAAAGGATAATTTTTTTATTTACATTAGTGTTACAAATTTAATTTTTATTAGAAATTTAATATAGATTTTTTAGTTAAGAACATAATTTTTTAATGATAATTTTTAATCTGAATAAAATAAAATTAATATTCTATAATTATAAATTTATGGTATTGATTGTAATTTTGATGTGAAAACTTGATATAAATAAATATGCTTGTCAATTTTTATTGGACAATAAAAAGTGAAAAGGGAAGAAAAAAAACTAGAAATAAAAAACGAAAATAGTTTTATTTCAGGGAATATAACCTTAATTTCAACAACTTCCCTTCTACTCTTTCTTAATTAACTGTAACTTTGCGGCCCTGCAGGCTAATACAGGAATCCCCTCAATTTAAACAGTTTTTAAAGTAATAGTCTTTGGTTTGAACATTCTTCTCCATTTAGCCTGTGTTGGAAGGACATAATTTCATTGTAAGACATTACTGTTGGTCTTCTACCATAAATGAAACTAGATAGTATTCTGCATGTTGCGCTTCATTTACCACTGTTTTTGTCTTCGGATTAACGTGGAAAGTGATTCTCCAGAGACTAATCTTGGCTCTGAAATGTTTATTTGATTGAGAATGATGATTCTCCGAAACTAGAAAGTATTCTGCATGTTGTGCTTCATTTACCACTGTTTTTGTCTTCGGATTAACGTGGAAAGTGATTCTCCATAGACTAATCGTGGCTCTTGTAATGTTTAGTGATTGAGAATGATGATTCTCCGAAACTAGAAAGTATTCTGCATGTTGTGCTTCATTTATCACCGTTTTTGTCTTTGGATAAGCGTGGAAAGTGATTCTCGAGAGACTAATCTTGGCTCTGAAATGTTTAATGATTGAGAATGCTGATATTTGAAATTGAGTAGTTCAGCTTAGTACTGATTCTGAGACAAACAGCAAATCTCAAAAGAGAGGGAGATTTAAATAATGAAGTAATGATGGGGAGAAATAAGATACTTAAAAGCCCACTTTGTCTATACCAAAACAACGTCAAGAAGCGGATCAAAAAATCAGAAAAAGACACAAATGCATCACCCCAGATCGTTTCACACTTGCCCGGAATGGGCTACAGAAAATAACAAGAGCAACCTCAGCTGTATTTCTATCCACAGATTCATCCCAACCTCATATGAGAACAACCTTTCTCACTTTCTTGCACGTGGTAGATTTCCATGAAATTGGTCCTTATTTGAATCCTTATGTGTTTTTTTTTTTCCCTCTCTTAATCGAATTGTCACTATCTTGAAGAAGACAACGAAAACGGTGACAATGGAATTTTCTTATCAGGCCTCCAAATTGATGATGTCTAAAATGGGCATATCTTCTCTATTTCTCCATGAAGATGTACTGTCTGTAAAACAAGCTATCTGTGATGGAGCCTTGGTCTCAACATCATTGGATGCAGTTATCTTCTGGTAAGAATCAGGAGGAACCACCCAGTTTGAGAGGCTGGCATCAACTGCGATTTCTTGCATGAGAGGTGTGGAGTGACTGATATTCGAGATTGAACTAAGGGGTTTCGGTGGGTGTTGCACAAGGGCTACATTTTCTTTCATCTGTTGCTTAGGGGGTTGCGTTCCTCTTGCCTTCACTACTTTCCATTGATTGAGATTTTCCACTGGTTTCAGCACAGAATGAACATACTGACGCGATCTCAATCCTCCCTCATTTGAGTCACCAAGGGACTTTAGATTTTCAGTTGTATCCTTTCCCAGCATTGTCGAAGAATTTTTATTCTGTGAACTCGCAGTTAGGGAGTTGAATTGCCCAGAAAATTCCTTTTGATTTACTCTCAATTCATCTATATTGCAGCCATTGTTATCATCATCTTCTTCTTCTTCTTCTTCGTCATCCAATTCATCATCATCATCATCCAAATCACTTTCTTCATACGCTATTCCATCCTCTTCATCATAGCTGTCAATGCAGTTTCTATATCTATAATTTGATGGATAAGACGCCATTTTGGACGCGATTGAATCCCCTTCAGAGAGAGAAGAAGATTGCCTTTCTTTAGCAGCATCTTTGCTAGTCTCTTCCTCATCACTTCCCCAGTAATCACTCGTGCTTTCCTCTTTCGGAATTGGCTCATAAGTCTGAACATTCAAATTGAAGCTCACCTTCTTTCTAACTTTATAGTTCAAGGAATCCTTGGGTCTTTCGCTGTCAATAAAAAAAACACACACCAAAGAACAAAACTTGAGCACAGACTAACTACAAAGAGAGAGACCCAAAACAATGAAACATACAACAGCAAATAAAAAAATAAATGATTGAAAAATAGGGTAAACATAGTGAGGGACCTGAGTTCAGCTTCTGAGGTTATGGGCTTCCCTGTAATGGCAAGGTTTGTAGAAACAGAATCTAGAGGTTCATAACTACAAAGTTTCTGCTACATCAAAACAAATAGTAAAAAAGAAGAAGAAGATTGGTGATTAATTCAAATGAATGTTGGAAATATATAAGCAAGCTTACATGGTCTCTATAACCCGGTTTTCTACGCTTTCTCTTTGAAGACAAGCCGAAACAGCCAAGAAAGCAACCCATCAGTGATCAGGCAGAGACCGACCGACCGACCTCAAGGATCAGAGGATGTTGTTAATGGCGAGATTGGCTAAAAATAGAGAGAGAGAAGGAGGGTTTGAGTGAAGTGTGGTGTGGATTTGAAAACCATTTCTGGCTCCAACGGGTTTTGAAAATAGGAACGTTAGGCTTTAATGATTGTACGAGTGGTGGTGGGTCGGGACTTGGACAACGACGATGTCAATGTGCGTGCACCAGTTTATTATTAATTATTCAAATATCCAGAAAAAAGGAGCAGATAATAAATTATAAAACCTTCTCCCAATACTTTGCGGCTCTTTGTTTTTTTTTTATTTATTTATAATTATTATCATTATCATAGCTGTCGTTTTGTCTTAATTTTCAACCAAATCTTATAATAGGGGTGAGAAAAAGAAAAAGAAAATCAAACTGAAAAATAAATAAATTGAATTAATCAATTAAACCCATTAAAAAATCCAAAAAATTTATAAGTTTAGTTTTGATTTTAAAATTCTAAAATTAATAAAATTGAATAAACTCTACTATAAAATCTAACATGTATATATATATAAAACCCTAAAAGTAAGTTCCCTTTCAATCCTTACAAGCTCTCCCTGTCTCTCCCAAATCACAAACGCCCTCTTCTTCCTCATTCTTCCCTTGTTCTTCCTATATCTCTAGTTCTTCACCTACTCCAACAAAAACATACACAATTAGTAGCCTCTGTCTGTTGATTTACTGTTTTAGATTTGTTTTTAAGACATGATTTTTCTTCTTTATAGTTTTTTACTTTTAAGCCATGATATTACCTTTATTGGGTGATTTTGCTATTAATACTGTTATTTTCATTTCCACAGGAGTTATTTCCATGCTGAACAAATTTTATTTACCTTTGTGCTAAGTGATTCGTTGATGGAAATAGCCTGGGTGTTCTTCTTGGAAAGACCTTGTGACGTGGAATAGTTTATCATTTGACATATTACAACAATATTTATCAGATGAAATGCTTTTGTTTGTTTTTTATTTTAAAAATGTATTTTAAAAAATTATATATATATATATTAAATTAATATTTTCATATTTTCTATATATATATATATATTTTAAATTAATATTTTAGTATTTTCATATTATTTTGACGTATTAATGTTAAAAATAATTTTTTTAAAATAAAAAATATTATTTTAATTTATTTTCAAACAAAAAATATTTTAAATAACAATCAAATTTATTTCCAAACAAAAAATATTTTCAATAACAATCGCTAATATAAACTCAGATACACCTTCTAGTTACATAGAAAAAATTTCCATTTCTTTTCCCTATTTTTTCTCTTTTGAAACTCCATAATCTTTGAAACTCTATAATCTTTAACTTGTTAGATGAAGTATTTTTTAAAATATTTTTTATTTGAAAATATATAAAAAAAATATGTATTTTATATTTTTTTAAAAAATATTTTTTAAAATATTTTTTATTTAAAAATATATAAAAAAAAATATGTATTTTATATTTTTTAAAAAAATATTTTTTATATTAAAACATCAAAATAAATTTTAAACAAAGAAAAAAAATAATTTATTTATTTTAAAAGCATTTATAAAATGCAAAAAATAAACTTGTGCGGGCTAAACATAGACTATAAACAAGAAAAAAAGAATTCAATTCAGGTTTTACTATTAAATGTTTCAGATGGTATTTTGATAATATTAGATTTGCATCTAAATGAGTCATTGCACGAGGTTGGTGTTGCACATGAACCATCTCTCAAACAGCTTTGATAGACAGTAAATACATGTGATTACTCATTCAAGTCCTTTCTAAAAACATAATTTATTTTATTTGAAAAAATTATGAATTTTTTTGTCAAAATTATTACATCACATGTACCATTTCATGTCTCTGGAATTCAAAAGAAAATTTTAAATTTAACTTATAAAAAGCAAATTTAAACAACTAGTAAAAGATGAAAGCTTAAACAAATTAAACAATTGAATTTGACTATAAAAGACCCAAATAAAGCCTCAAGAAGCTCCCACTAAAAAGGCCACCAGTTTTGCCTATAAATATATAAATAAATTCTAATTTGATTGATTTTTTTATTTATTAATAACCAAATTGAATAAAAAATAATTACCTGTATCATATATTGGGAGAGTTATGGATTATGGAAGCCTGGTTTATTGCAAGGCAGAGACTCTTAACATATGAGAAATTCTATAAATCTTTCTATAATGAAAATTAAGATGTGTTATTATGATTATTTTAAAATAAATTGGTATTAATTAACATATAAACTAATATAATGATACTATGTTTATGGAATGAAAAGAAACAGACTCTTTTTAGTAGAAAAGCTTCAACACGAGCCGAGTTGAATTTTTTTGTAATCTAATAAAACAATATTAAAGAATTGCCAATGTGTTTGTTTTTTTAAAAAAACTCATGATTCAAGTTATAAACTTTAATATTAAAAGATAAAGATAAAAATATGAAAAAAAAAAAAAGAAAAAGCTTTGACACAATTCAAGTTAATACAACAAACTTATAACCTAGATTGTGGGGTTGAAATATCCTTATATAAAACATATAAAAAAATAAACTCAATATTTAATAAACTTGACATTGAAGGCTAAAATTGACAAATAAAATAAATGTAAAAAAGATTATAAAAGAAGTTTAGAGTAAATCCGAGCTAACATCTCATACTTATGACCTAGGTTATAATATGAAGATGATCGCATAAAAAAATAATATCAAAGCTCATTCCTCAATAATTCAATGCTAAAAGCTTAAAAAAATTAATTTAAAAAAAAGGAGAAAAAAGCAATTAAAAGATTCAGAAATAAATTTAATATAAAAATAAAATAAAATGAAGTAAAAGTCTCGAGCCAATTCAAGCTAGCATGACAAATGTGTGATCTAGACTACGAGGCCAGGTTATTATCATAGAAAGAAAAAAAATATAATTTTTAAAAAAATTAATTAAAAAAGACATAAAAATAGACCGATATCAATTTGGGACCCGTGATCCTAGTCATAAGACTAGTATAATCACACCATAAAAATTAACGGAGCCTGATTTTAAAAAAATCAAATATTAATAGATAAAATTAAAAGAAAAAAATTTTCAAAAAAGGAACCAAGGCAAAAAAAAATAATTAAAAGAATAAGGGTCAAATCTGATATAAAAGTTAAATTAAATTAAATAATAAGGGATGAAATTAAAAAAATTAAATAATTATAATAATAATAAACTAAAGACCAAACTTGATACAAATACCAAATAAAGTACAATTTTAAAGGATAAAATTAAAAAAAATCAAAACAAATAAAAAATTATAAGAAGAAAATGAAGGACAACCTTTAATTTTGGTTGAGTCGACATGTTTTTTTAGGGAAAAAAAGATAAAGAAAAGAGAGGGGGAGATTATCACCTAACCATCATAAAACATCTTACATGCTTCGCTTCTTTGGATACGCTGCCATATGATCCATCGAAAGAGATGTCAATTGGCCTTTTTGGGCACCAAGATAAGCCACACAAAATGCACATACACCTTCCACATGCTGCATGTGCTAACAACTTTTCTTTTTCATTTTTTTATTTAATTTATCAAAAAATCTAAATGCCTCTAAACACACATAATATTAATGAAAAAACCATAACAAAATAGATCAAAAAACCCTTTGACCTAAGCTATAGTTTTTTTTTTTCTTCTAACTATACCTTAGTAATTTCAATATGCCAACAAACATAATATTAATGAAAAAACCATAACAAAACATATCAAAAAACCCCTTGACCTAAGCTATAGTTTTTTTTTCTTCTAACCGTACCTTAGTAATTTCAGTATGCCAACAAGGATAGAAAACCAAAAATACATCTGCCTAAATTGTTAAGCAAATTTGACTCTTAAAGGTATTTTAATAATTACAATGTGCAAATAAAATATTAAAAGATCATTCTTATTCTCATTCAATTTAATAATGATAAATAAGTCCTATAAAAAAAACGATTATACATCTAGAAATAAGTTATATAGTTTTCATTATGGAAAGCAAAAGGGGTATTTCACTATAGAAATCTATAGTTAAAACTAGCCTTCCTCCCTTATTTTTCTCAAATCTAATAGCTAAAGTCTTGCTTTTGTTTAAAAAAACACATATTTTAAATCACAATCCAACTACATCTTATTCTATGAAGAGGCAACAAAAAAACATCAATTTACCTTCGTTTCCTTGTTAATGGCAGATCAAACTCATAAACCCGAAAAAATAACCAATCAATCTTCTTAAAATATCACTTTATTTTGATCAAATTAACAAAACACTTACGAATATTTTTAGATTTGGAAAACCATTCAAGCAAGCACCATCATCAATCACTATTCTCATATGATTTTTTTTTCATATCTAAGTTCTAGTTTACAAAATTATCATCATTTATGCAAAGACCAAAAGAATAAAAAAATTTGAATCCAATATCCATCATTGATTCAAGCACCGTTTGTTTTTGTGATACAAAAATGCTTTTAAAAAAATAATTTTTTTTCTTTAAATAATTTTTTTGATATTTTTAGATTATTTTGATGTGTTGATATTAATAATGAATTTTAAAAAATAAAAAATTATTTTGATGTATTTATAAAGAAAGAACATTTTAAAAAGCATATAATATCATCATATCACACAAGGTCTCAAAGTCGGAGAAGATTTCTTTTTTTATTATGCGAATAATCTGTACATTGTTATTTTGTTTTTCTTATTTTTCTTTTTTATTATGCAAAGAATTCCTACATTGTTCTTTTCTTTTATTTATTTTTTGTTATGTTGTATATAGTTATTTTGAGATTTTTCAGAAAAACAACATTGAGAATTATATGAGATCTTGTATGTTAGTATTTAGATTAATTAGATTTAGATGTAAGATTGTATGGAGATAAAGATTAAAGTTTCTTAATTCTATTAGTTATGTATTCTTAGCATATAAACTAGAGAGAAATACTAAAGGTTGGTTTGACCAATTTAACTAAAAATTCTTTAGCACAAACATAAATATGAAAATTGCATAAAGACATTATAAGTTTAAGGATTAAAATTATAGTCTTTTAGACAAAGCATGCATAAAAAAAACAGATTGAGTATATCTTAAA